CGAAATAAACGGCAGGTGAAAGAAAAAAAAAAACCTGCTCCGCTCGTCATCTTCTCTTCTTCTTCTTCTCCTTCTTCTTCTTCTCTCCTCCTCCGCCTCCCCCTCGTCTTCTTCTCCTTTCTGTTCTCTCCGCCTCCTCTTCCGCCCACACTCTTCTTCTTCATCCTCTTCGACCGCCATACCCTAATGGCATACTGCGCCACCATTTCCCTCCACCGCCGCCGTAACCCTAGCCGCCATTCTTCTTCTTCTTCTTCTTCTTCTTCTTCTTCTTCTTTTCTCCTCCTCCTCCCCCTCGTCGTCTTCTCCTTCCTATTCTCCCCTCTTCCTCCTCTTCGGCCCATCTTCTTCTTCTTCTTCTTCTTCTTCTTCTTCTTCTTCTTCTTCTTCTTCTGCTTCTTTTCTCCTCCTCCTCCCCCTCGTCTTCTTCTCCTTCCTATTCGCCCCTCGTCCTCCTCTTCGGCCCATCTTCTTCTTCTTCTTCTTCATCTTCTTCTATTCTCCTCCTCCTCCCCCTCTTCTTCTTCTCCTTCGTCTTCTCCCCTCGTCCTCCTCTTCCGCCCATCTTCTTCTTCCCTCCATCTTCTTCTTCTTCTTCTTCTTCTTCTTCTTCTTCTTCTTCTTCTTGTAGCCTAGCCGCCACAGCCCGCTGCCAAACCCCGCCACCACAGTATACCGCCCTGCCGCCGCCGCCATCTTCACCATCTTTTTAGCTCGCGTGAGGCACGGCAGGTTTAAAAAAAAAAAGAAAAAAAATTCTTCGTCTTCTTCTTCTTTTCTCCTCCGCCTCCCCCTCATCTTCTTCTCCTTCCTCTTCTCTCCTCCTCCTCTTCCGTCCATCTTCTTCTTCTTCTTCTTCTTCTTTTTCTTCTTCTTCTTCTTCTTCTTCTTCTTCTTTTCTCCCCTGCCTCCCCCTCATCTTCTTCTCATACCTCTTCTCTCCTCGTCCTCCTCTTCCGTCCATCTTCTTCTTCTTCTTCTTCTTCTTCTTCTTCTTCTTCTTGTAGCCTAGCCGCCACAGCCAGCCACCATACCCCGCCACCACACCATACCGCCTTGCCGCCGCCGCAATTTTCTCCATCGTTCAGTAGGTTGCGTGAGGCGCGGCAGGTAAAAAAAAAATTAAAAAAAATTGAGATCTGTCCCTCCCTCCCTCCCTCCCTCCC